GTTACTCTGTGTTACCTTTGCAAACGATGATTAATTAAATGTATTCTAATAGTATCGACGGTAACATTGAAAACGTCTATTTAAGCACGTGCTATTCAATTTTCAAATTGACACATTCTTGATTCGCTCAGCGAGACTTGAAATACCTATTATTACAAATACCTATTAGACAATTCCTGTCTCGCCATGAATGGAATATTCCACTTAAAACTTTATTATTACTAAACACATCGTTTGGCAAAATTTTAGACGTGGAAAAGTGATCAATTGCACGATATATTCGAGAAATATCTATTATTTAATCGAAGTGAGTTCCTGTCTGACCATATATGGATTATTCCACTTGAAATCTTCATTATTACTAAACACAGCTATTTCCAAAATTTTAGACGTTGAAAATCGATTAATTGCATATATTCGAGAAATATATTACGTTCTTTTGTTAGTATTTGTGTTTTACAATATAATCATAGTTAAGTTCACTAACGATCCACTTGTATCGCGACGTACACGATTTCCACTGCATGTAACGATCGATACCAATCATATACCTCGCTCAACTGAATTTGGACAATGCCTCCTGTAAATGTGACCTATGGTTACAACGAGAACAATGTCACAGCGAATGTTTACCAGAGTCCGATTGATCCTTGACTCGGACAGGCAACATTTCGGTTCAGGAATCTCGACGTAGGACGTCGTTAAAGCTGCACCTTCGCGGGATCATTAAGTGACGATTAGGTTCGTTAACGAGAGGATAATAGTGTCTTCGAGCATCAAGCAACTATGTATGTCGAGACCCAAATCCTTAGCTGAATAGAAGCATTCCTTTGTACTTCCAAGGAAATTGTAGTAACTTGAGATCAGAAAATCAATTTTAACTTTTTACAAATTTCTGGAGTACGTAGTCTAGAGAATGCTTTTAATGTAACTTTTAATATAACAGGCACCAAACTACATTGTTGATTCCTAACAGAATGGTTTGTAATATAAATGGTCGTAACTTTGCAATTTTGACATTTTCTTAAAAAAATTTATTAGAAATATTTCCAAGGCAATAAGAATTTCTATAAAATTCTATAAAATCCTGAAAAATCCCTATTCCTGCAAACCAACAACCAAACAAATTTGTCACACAGACCGTCGTTCGATTACTTTCAGAAACCGGCGCGAAAATGTAGGAGAAAGTCGGAGGAAACGATAATGACCGTCCATTTCGGACCAATTCAACTCTTCGCGTCCAGCGAATTTTTCCAGAAACCGCACGCCCCAGTTCTCCACTCTCGCGAGGAATTGCTCCTCCCCCTGTGGGATTGTAAACGGTCGCCTCGTAATTAAATTGAATTGTAAAAATGTTGAGAACATAGGCTGCAGGCGGGGAAGAAGGTGCTTATTAAAACTTTTCTACCGACGACAATTCCGACGGAAATGGTCGACGGAATTTTTTGCTACCCTGGATTCTGCTTGTCAAGCAGTTTTTCCGTTTTACAGTGGCGACTTTGCTGATTCCGAAGGTCGTTAAACATTTCCTTTGTCATTCGTCAAACGATAGGAAAAACGAGATTAATTTTCATTTGTTTGACCAACAAATGTATTTGTATACATATTTTCTAGGGGTTTTCTTTAAAAAGGACTTTAGAATTCGTGTTGTTTATAAAGCTTAAATGGTATGTAATACATGTATCGTTAATATGAATGGTAAAACCAGTATTTATATATATGATATATTATAATATTATGACTAGGTTTAAGTTATCTTTTTGTATCCTCGATAAATATCTTGTCGATATGTAATATAATAATTAAAAGTATACCGAAAAATTAAAATAGTACAATTTAGATATACTATTTAATGTAGAATATTCACAATAGTACTATTAAGTAATACTATTAAATTCAGAATAGTTAACAGTTTATGGCACTCGATAATAAGAATAGTAAACTAAACATCAGAGATGAAAGAGTAACCAGAACCATTCTATGTATGTGTTCAGACATATATAAAAATAAAAACGTCGGTGCGTATGTATGTCTGACCATGACGGCTGAATCCACTGAAGCTATCCACCTTATATTCACGCCATATGTTCCGTGTAGTGTTTCGGATTGTTTTTGTTTCTATGAGACCTTCTAGGTGGGGTAATTAAAATTATTAAAATATTATTGCTCCAAGGAAGTGATAACTCGTATAACGAAAAAGGTCTATATGAATTCCACGCAATTTAAAGAATCGAACCGCGTGTTTGGCGCCTAATCTAGAGGATCCAGGATGGAATGGCATAATATTGGCCGCGCATTGGATCCCATTAGTTCCATCTCCAATTCACCAGCGCCGGGAGAATCATCGGAAGCAAGTGGAAATTTTAGACGCGTTGTCATTTCATTCCACGTGTTTCTCCAGCGCGGCAGGCGCCTTGGAAAATAATTCGATATCTTCCTTTGAGAACGGAAAACTAACAAAACCGGCGCTCAGTTGGCAGGAAATGCTTCATGTTTATACATTTCCAAAGCGTCGTCTTCCTTTGACGTCCCGACCGGCGATACTTCCGCGACAGAACTTCTGTCCCCCGGACGTTCGAAAAACCGAGCGTATACTCCGTGTTATAAACTCCATCAAACTTTCCGCAAAGAGTCAATACCGTTGCATGATGGAGAACGTCGAGGGGGTCACTTAAATGATATCCGCGAGGCGTGAATCGAGCATCTGTTGAAAATAAACATGGTTTTTCAGAAGTGCCGGGGCGATAACTCTGATTCGAGCGTGCGAACGAATTCTATGGCAATTGACTTCCTCGCGCTTGACTACTGCAATTTGCCTGTTTATTGTGAGACCGGTACAAGTTCCTCGATATCGAGGTATGAATGGTTTACGTTTTAACGGATGATGAAGTTTCGCTTTTTATATACTAACTGAGTGAAACTGGTGATTTGTTTATTATACCATAGGTTGCGACAAAAAATTAGAAAATATAATTTACACTCTCAAAACAGAATAATATCTGCAATTATACAAACTGATATTTTTATTACACCACCAGTTGCAAGAAAAAGTTAGAAAATATAAATTACACTCTGAAAGTAGAATAATATCTGCAATAATACAGACTGATATTTTTATTACACCAGCAGTTGCGTAAAAAACTTAGAAAATATAAATTACACTCTGAAAGTAGAATAATATCTCGAATAATACAGACTCGAACAGAGTTGAATCATGCTCCAGTTTATGCTAGTGTTTGGAGGATCTCAAGTTTTGATTTCCGGCTCAGCAGAGGATGGTGCTGCGATTAGGTGACGTATTTAACGTCAAGAGTAGAGACGTCATCATCAGTTACGTTTCACAATTCAAAGCTCAATTATCTAATTACACAGGAGGAACCACTTACCCAACGTGTTCTAGATTTCTGCGGGAAGGCAGGAAGTCGATTTCTGGACAAACGTGATTTCAGCTACCCCCTTGTCGCGAGTGACAAAGATCCATTCGATTTCTTTTTGCGAAACGGTGAAGTCAATTACGAAATTGAGTACTTTACTAAGGCTTAGATACAGCTGTGCTCGGTTCAATCGCTTCAGCAGGGAATCTTGAGATCGATAATGGTAAAAATACTTAATTTATTTGTATGTAATTTGTCTGCTTCAATTTTGTTCAACACTATACAATTTCAATTATGTAATTGACGAAGGAACTTGGGTGTTCTCAAACAAAAATGGTAATGGAATTTAAGAGAAAAATGAGAAGCAAATATAAACAGTAAATAAAACGAGACTACATGCAAATACGAAAACATTATGTAATATGTAAATATTAAGAGAAATTTGTGTTCTTTACTGGAATTTACATTTTATTTAATATTTTAGTCTTTACACGTAGTCTCGTTTTATTTACTGTTTATACTTGCTATTTCTTTTTTTATTAAAATTCCATTACTATCTTTGTTTGAGGAAAACCAAGTTCCTTCATCAATTATATAATTGAAATTTCATACTGTTGAGCATAATTGGAGGAAATTACATACAAACAATCCTTTTATCATTATCGATCCCATGATTTAATTAATAAATTCTTCGAAACGGAATCACACGATTGATGTTGCAATAAGTTACGCTGTCAATAACAATGCAAATAGTTTGAAACTCGTTTGTGTCTAACAGCGTAGGCACGAATGGGTTAATAACGAGCGATTCTGTCTTCGAAATTAATCGTTTCAGCTGTCAAACGGTTTGGAATATTGCTCGCGCGTCGTAATTTACAAATCGAATGACTGACTTCGCGTGTAATAACGTCGCTAGTAAAACCATCGATGGAAATTACAGAATGCGAATACACATACAATTATTTCATTTATACGTCACGAACCACCTCGCGGACATGTCCCGGTTTCCGCGCTCGAACGAAAACTCAGGGGCGTTTTTGATTGCACGCGAAATCCTTTTTCAAGCGTAAACACGACGGCCACGGATTACACGACGCGGAATTCGTTCTATTGGATTCTACAAAAACAATCAATCACTGTTTGCTCTATTACGTGTTAATCAATAAAAGGAGATCGTTATCGAAAAGACCTAATTTTTTGGACGATTTTTCTTTTCATATGAGTGTATAGTTTATATTTATACTTCTGGAGATGAATAATCACGTTTAATACATTCTTTCTTTCTAAAGAGGGAAAACTTGAAAGGAAGAAAGAGATAATTGAGAATATTTTTTCAACGGAAAATAATAAATTCTATTATAATAATAAATTCAAGAATACTCGAAAGAATGTTTCTTGTGTCAGAATTTTTAACTTTGAAAATATCTGAAATTACGAAAATCCAGGAATGAAAAGATTTAAATGTAATCGCTGCGGGGCTTTTTAATTACGTTTGCGCAATTACTCGAGTCACTTGAAAAGTTCCGCGAAATCGTCCCGGTTTTCGGGTCAACATCGTGGCTGAATCCAGCGCGCGAAGTTAACCAACCCGCAAGCTACATGTTCGGTCAATGTTTCGATTTTCAGGTCTAATAATTACACGGGCTAACTAAACATGCGGACGAGGGGAACGTGAAGAGCGAAAATATGGTGGACAAAGAGGAAATAACGACGACACCCTCGCCGGTGAATATCAACGAGGCGATCGAGGGAGAGGTGTTGAATCAAAAGACTGCTAGAAGTAAGTACGAAGAAATAAGCGAAGAAAATCTATTCAACCCTTTATTTACTGGAGGAACTTCAAAGTCCACTTCTATGAAGTTCGGTTTTTAATTGTTGAATGGCAGTACAAATTTTTTTTTTTTGAAGATTGTTATATAATACCAAGATGGACGCCTGTATTTTAAAAACTTTTGAGAAATTCAGTAAATTAAAGGTTAACTTATAAGAGAACTATTGCATCACTTAATAATAATATTCAATACAACGAAATGATTCATAGAGATTAATTATAGAAATGAATAAAAATGCCTTAGGAGGAGGAAAGAGATGTTCAGAAATATTTTTTTCTGCAAACGGAAAATCTTCTAACATGATCAATTTAAGAGTACTCAAAAGAATATTTCTTGTATCGAAAGTTTTCTACTCGAAGATATCTGAAATTACCAAAATATACAATTTCTTTCTGAACGAAAACAGAAGACTGTAAAACTGCGAACTGCCTTTTTTTATTTACTTTCCTTTTCGTTTGCATAACTTCCATCATCGGAAGAAACTCCAAGGGACATTCGGGCGCCTCTATTTTTAAAATTTCTAATCGCGCCGACATCAAAGAGGGAAAATTCTGTTTGCGGAACGAAAAATTGTACGGATGCAAGCTGCTCCGGGAAGACTGTCCGTTGCGATGCGAGAGTACAAGGGAAACGCGAAAAGGTGGAAGAAACATATGTAGATTTTCCGATGGTACGGGGTGAAATTTTCAGAGAGACTCTCGCTGGAAAAATGTTATTCGCGTGTACGTCCCGTGTGCATTCGAATCTTTTTGATGGGCCGCGCTAAAAACGAGAAAGTAGATTGAAATTAAAGTGGAATTCGCGTGCTGACAAATTTATTTCGCACTCGGGATTGGAGATTACAAAATGGGCGCTTGCGAGTCTTTCTAGCAATTCATATAATAATTATAATGTACAAAACCTTTTCGATAGTTTTTCAACAAAGATAAATAAAAATTAGCCGAGATTCCTTGGAGCAGCTAATCGATTGTGTAGTAAAAATTTCATTATTTTGAAACTTGTTCGTCGATTGAAATTTATGGAAGTTTCTCTTTTTGCAAGTACTTAAGAACGACCTTTTGCTACACGAGGCTGTGATAAAAAACGAAGCGGAGACCGTTCGCAAAGTGCTCAAAGAGCCCGTCGACGTCGATTCCAGGAACAACGTAAGTTTCATTCGTACAATATCCAAAATCAATGAACCGTGGAGGTGTGCACCAGTAGTCGCCAACAATAATTCTATTTTTTACTCGGAAAAAATAAAAATTCAGAATCACAAAGCATTCAACACAACTTCTCTCGATTTTCAATAAATATTGTCTTGCGATAAATAATATGAATTCTTACATACAACGACTCTGAAACCTCGCCAATAGCTAACTAAAAATATTAAGATAGTTCTTGACGACTCAGAAATATTTCCATCAGAAGAAGTCGGAGAAATTTCGTGTTTAAAAAACAAGCATCTCGGCGCGAAGGTGGAGAATGTTCTCGTTGAAAATGGAATCTTTCACTTGGCGCCACTTCGTTAACGTTAACGTCATGCAAAACGCGTTACACGCTCCGAAGCGCGAGATAACGTGACGCGGTTGAAGTAGTAACGTGCCACGAATATAGTGCGACGTCTGTCTGACTGAGCACGGGACATATCACGTAGTGTACCGTCGCAACAGTTAAATCGTCATGATTCTGCTCTAGCCATGACCTTTGTCTCGGCATAAACGGATTATTCCACTTAAATTCCCATGACAGCCTGCGCTCTCTTCAAGCTTTTCCGAACAACGAGCCTTTTGTTTGATTAAGGGCTACATACGGTCGGTCCTGTAACCATTCGTACTCTCTATTGAAGAAGTTTGCTTAAAATAAATAATAGAAGGAAATTTTTCATTGTGAATATATACAGGAATAAACCTTGCACGTGGATATATTTATAACGAAATATTTAATTGGAAACTGATGGGAGCGTATAAACACTCAATTAATACTTTGAATCTTTATTTTATTTATTTATGAAAGCTTGGAAGATCGATCTTTATTTCATTCTGAATGAGAAATATGGAGAAGAAAATACTGGTGAAAATTGACAAGATGAAAATAACAGAGACGAACGTACAATACGTTCGAATAAAATTCTGATGAACCTCGAGTAATTTTTTCGTACAAAAATAGTGAAAATCGTGATAGATACAGAAAGGTTTATCTGTGTAACCATTCATCGAATAAACGTTGTAAATAAATTTCTGTTGGAACAAAATTCTGGCTATCTCTGGTGTGCACGTCCGTGTAGGTTTGTCATTTAATTTATCGCGAATATATCCGCACGATTGAAAATTACTGTTTAGTATGGCCGAGCGCCGATCCACTGGGCAGCGTCAAGGGGAAACACGGAAATCATCGAAATGCTGATGCAAGCGAAATGCGACATCGAGGCCAGAGACAAGGTAACATTTTATTAATAATGTTATAACAAAACGAATGATCGTGGCCAGGAGAAGCTAACGTTTTCATAAATGCATATCGAAATGTTCATCGACTAAATGATTTTCTAAAGATCGTGTAAATTAAAAAATTTGAAGAATTAATGCACTACAAATATTTGTATAAAATTTTTGTTTAAATATTCTTTCAATCTAAGCAAGGTTCCTGTATTAATTAAATAAAAATCGTATCGATTTTCTCGAGGACACTGATGGAAGTGTGGTTTCGAACGTTTACAAACTTGGGAATTTTGACGAGGTATAATTAAATTCTGTCTGTAATATTTGAAGTTCGGCATGCGCCCGTTGCACATGGCTGCTTGGTATGGGCACAGGGACGCCGTGAAGATGTTAATCAACGCTGGAGCAAATGTGTCAGCCGTCAACAAGGTATTCTCGTAATTAAGCGAATAAATATTCATTACTTACTCTGAATACCGTGTAACCTAGGACTAACCGACACCGACGACAGTCATTAAAATCGAATTACTTCGAGACTCTCGAAATCCACGAGCCCCTTTATTCACTCACTTTCAATTAAACTACAAGAGACATCGTCCAAATATTTTCGTCAAAATAATTAAATACAAAAATGAAATTTTCTTTCAATATTCCAAGTCACTTGGAATATTGTCATGAATATTACAGTTATTCAATATTATTCAAAATATAAAAGAGAAAGATTTTATTGCTATTCTGAAACGATGCAGTAATTTCTATGCAAAAGAGTGTTAGTATATTCGAAGGTTTCAATATTCCAACTCACAACTTGCATCGTCGTGAAATAAATTATTACAAAGTTACAAATATTCAAAATATAAAAATGAAAAATTATTGTTATTCTCGAACGATGCAGTAATCTTTATACGAAACAATGTTAGCCAAAGTTTTAAATATAAAATACCGATATTTTCTCTAACAAAAAAAAAAAGACAGAAAAAATGGCATAACTATCTATGATCTATCCTATTGGTTCTGAAATCTCCAATGAATCGATGACAAAGAAAATTCCTATGGCGCGGTAGGAGGAAACGAAAACTTTCCGCGTTAATACAGTTACAGAGAGAGAGAGAGAGAGAGAGAGAGAGAGAGAGAGAGAGAGAGAGAACGAGTGGAATGGTATTCGTTTGAAGCCCGACACAAATAATCAAAGTTTTCCTTTGTCGTAGAAACAATACACTCTTTTAATGTGCGCCGCCCGCGGCAGCAACGTCGGCGTAGTCGAGTACCTCGCGGAGGCCGTGGAATCGTTGAACGGCGATGCAACCGATTGCACCGGTGCAACTGCACTTCATCACGCAGCTAGTGCCGGTCACCCGACTGTGATAACAGCCCTCTCCAGCATACCTAGGCTCGAGCTAAATGTCACGGACAAGGTAAGAGCCGGGAGGCGTCATAATTTCCCTGTAGACCGTCACTTAACTAACCAGGTGGCGCGAGATAGAAGGGTTGGGGGGGGGGGGGGGAGACTCTTAGAATTGAAAAGCGGGCGTGAAAGAAATTTTTTAACGCGCAGGAAAATGGAGAAAACTTCGACGTATCTTTGCGTATTGATAGAGGAAATGGTGGTACCTCAACCAGCGTGAAATTACTTTAATATTAATAATAAAGGAAGCTAATTACGTGTTCTTCAGTATGTTTGTATAGAAAAAGGGTCACGAACCCTAAGGGTAGGAACGAAAGAAATTTTTTAACGCGCAGCAGAATGGAGAAAACTTCGACGACTCTTTGCGTATTGATAGAGGAAATGGTGGTACCTCAACCAGCGTGAAATTATATTTATATTAATGATAAAGGAAGCTGATTACGCGCAGTTTAGTATATTTATATAGAAAGGGGTCACGTACCCTAAGGATAGGAACGAAAGAAAATGTTGAATTAAAGCGCGAACTTGGAAAATTGAAAATATATCTTTCTGTATTAATAAAGAGAAGAGTGGTACCATGGCTACCAATTGATAAATGGGTTACGTAATTGCATTTTTTATTTTTATAATAAAGGAAACTAAACGCAAACGTTTTAATTAAATCGTGGCATTGGTACGAAGTTAATCAAATTGGAAATTAAGAATTAAAAAACACACCTGCTCCGGGCGTACCAAAATATGAACCAAAATATACGTCCTGGTTTCGTTTGCAATACGAGCGTAACGAGGGGCGGATTTGCAACCAAACTAAAGTATTGAATATTCTTCGGGTGGAACAGTGAGTTTTTACGAAAAAGAGTGAAATATCTTTTATGAGTTGGAAGAAGTTTGAATGTTTTGAGACGGGAATTTCTTTTTGGAAGTTACTCCAAACTCTGAACGGATCGTTCGAAACAGTGGAAGCGTGCTCCTGGAATCCCGTGTGAAAGTTTGAAAGGCCGAATCGGTTCGCCGATATTAATATCCCTAAATCCATCACTTTTTCAATTTAATGCCTGTAATACGTTTTGTAACGAATTTCAGAGAGTGGGCATGGAAGATAAGAAGTAGGTTAATCGATCGAGGAAGCGTTTCATTTAATATTATTATACAACAAGGGGTGTTCAATTTTTTTTTTCTCGTGAAAAATAAAATAAAAGAATCCGATATTACATTCTCAGAGAATAGTAATCCTCTGGATGTACAAGAATTATCGAATAACGATAAATCACTGTTTAGAACATGTTTCTCATACATAATTTTGTACGAAATTTTCAAAATCAAGAAAGGTTAATTGAGTAATTTTTAGTGAGTAGATGAAAGTTTGAGTGAAATAATTTTCTTATTTCCACGGTTTCATTGAAATAAGGACCACTCTAGTGCACGTACGACGTCTCTACTTGCTCGGAGACTATATCTGCGACGATATGGCGCCGAGGTAAAGCGCTTGATCGAAATCCAGGACGTGAGACTGGGATGCATTGAAACACAATAGCTTTGGATCTCGATAATGAAATCCTAGAGAAACGTTGATCGAAACAGCCCTTTGTAAATTCGATACGAAGAAATCGAGCAGAAGGCAGAGAGAAAACTTCAATTTTCAGAGCCTCGATGAAGTAATTCTTTTGCAGTGTCGTTTGCAATGTCTTTTGGAGTGTCGTCTTGCGTCAGGAGTATTTACATTCGCGCTCGAGTTTGCAATTTTCTTGCACAATTACTCTTGAATTAAAAATAGTCGATTTGAAAGTCATCGATCAAACGCATTTCGCAAAACACGGCCGAACTTATATAAACAGCGATGAGAGTAATCTCGAATTAGTATTTTAAACGACAATCGTAACGAGAACGTTGCGCGAAGATTTTTGAAAACAAACGATCACACGCTTTAAGAATATTTATCGCGTGGCGCGAAACGTCGGCGGTGTAATCGCAGGATTATCCCGATGCACGGGGAAGATTTACTTTCTCAAATATTAATCCGTTTCAAATTGAAACGAAAACGCAAATATCCGCGTGCTGCTGGATGCGAACGCAGGAAACTTCAATTTATGTAGAAACTGGTCCACGCGGCTTCTTCCCGATTCAGTTGCCGAGAAACTGGGTCTCTGGCATTAGCTATATTGCCTTCTTATCGCGAAGACAAGCGAAATCCCCGAAGGAGAGAGGGCGAACCACAGCTGCGTTGCAACTGCAGTCCTTTGAGAGAATTTTATGGAACTTGTGTCGGTTTACAGGTGCTTCCGACACTCTCGGGAGTTGCGCGACCTGTCGATCTATCGGAATCCCTGTGGTCCATGGCGATTGTAAAGACAGAAGACGCCCTTTAACCCTTTACAGGTCACTGGCACTCGTTACTACTAAGGAAAAGGCGGGAGTTTTGTATTTTTAAGTTTCTATGCTCATACTTTGGATGGAAAAAATGATGGAAGAAATATTCCCAGAGAGTTCTGTCCTATGAAGGTACTCCTAGCCCTTTACACCATGGCACTCGAAGACAGTACCATTACAGGGAGCTAACAATTTATACGTCTAAACTCTTCTTCTACCATGATTGAAACTCATTCAAAGTATACAAATTTACAGCTTATTAGAAACCTATTTATGAACCAATATCGCTACGAACAGTTCGAGAGTTACCGAGATCTAAAATAAACAAAGACTGTCGCTTCTAAGTCGCCCCGAGAGTGCAGAGAGTTAGGTTAACCCTTCAACCATTGAGTAACTTGAAAACAGTGGCAAAGTGGGGCAATATTTGCTTCCTCTAGCACTCTTTGTATATCTTCTTATTATGGGTAAATTTTACAATGATTTTTAGAAAGGTCAGACACCAATACACTGTGCTTGCGCGGAGGAACACCTGGAAGCTGTGGAGATTCTTATAGGGCTAGGAGCAAACGTGGACGCACAGGACAACGAAGGAAACACCCCTCTTCACGTGGCTACCAGAACGAGGCACACGGCCATAGCTCAATTGTTACTAAAGGCTGAAGCTAATACCGAGCTGACTGATCAAGTAATTAATTCATCCATTTAGCTAAGCAAAGTTAATTCATAAATTGTATTCACATTTGTAACAATTGTACTCTCGTATGAGAAGTCTGAAAAATCTCGTCAATCTTTCATTACACTCCCAAGACATTTTATTGACAATTAAGCCAATCCATAGAGTCTGAATTGCGGTTATTAGATGGGTTTCACTCCCCTTCACGTCGCCGCCAGTCAGGGTTGCAAAGGAATACTAGACTCGATGATTCAGCACGGTGCAGCGCTCAATAAGCAATGCAAGGTACGCTTTCAATTCCGACATTCGCGAATTATTAGGTTGTATAATAAGTTCATTCGCGTTTTGTCGTGAAAATATTAAATGCTACCAATTACAGTACGCATAATGAGATTTTAAATAACCATTGAATGAATTTTTAGTTGTAAATTGTAAAATGTTATTCGCAGCCTCTCGCGGAGCAATGTCCAACAAAAAACTAGATCTAAACCTACTCAGAAAGTATTTCCGTTTAAACCGTACGTACATTAACGGTATTCAATATTGCCGCTCCATCAAATAGTATACAAAACCTACTAAGGCAGTATGTATACTAACAGTATTCAATACTGCCGCTCCATTAAATACTACACCAAACCTACTGAGACAGTATGTACATTGTACGGTATTCAATACTTCCGTCTCATTCAAGAACTACACCAAACTTACTCAGACAGTATGTATACTGTACGCTATTCAATATTGCCGTCGTACCGAGAACTGCACCAAAGTTACTCAGACAGTATGTACATTAACAGTGTTCAATATTGCAGCCTCGCCCAAAAACTACAGTAAACTTCCTCAGACAGTACGTACATTAGCAGTATTCAATATTGCTGCCCCCACCAACTACCCTAAATCTACTCAGACAATATTTCCGTGTAGACAGCATATGCAACAACAAGTTTAGCGCATTCCCCATTACGAGTTAGTAATTAAATAAAATCACCGGTCGATTTGTTAAACATTCCATAATTTATCACATTTACCAACTTTAATGGGGATAATATGGACTTCTGCTATCTTTGAGGAATATATGTATACTCCTTCAACTCTTCGAACCCTCTCAGCTCGATACATTCATCCATTCCAGCTAACGTAAACAACAGTTTCGTGTTAACACTTCTCTAAATGCGTACCGTGGACGCGAACGAACTTGTTAGACAACCTAATAGAATCGAGTAACTATCCGTCTTCGTGACACTTTATCGGTTTGCAGTACGGAAACACGGCTCTACACTTAGCCTGTCAGAACAACGAAGTAGAAACGGTCGAGATACTGATTAACAAAGGGGTCGACCTGAACTGCTTGAACTTGGTGCGTAAAACGACCGCGTTCACGACTAGACTCCTTCCATTCGCTCGATTCTGATCGTACAGGTATTATGTCTCTACGATTCTTACATGATACCTCGCGACATGTTTCAGAGACTACAGTCGCCGATCCACATCGCTGCAGAGATGGGCCACACAGACATATGTGAGCTGTTGCTTGCAGCAGGTGCGAATATCGAGCAAAGAGAACAGGTGAACACTGATCGTACACCTTCTCTTTCCTTTGGTTCCGTTTATTTCAAATTTCTGAAGACCTTAGCGAAAAATACTCAAGATAAATTCATTGATAAATTAGAGATAAATTGAGGCCACTGAATTATAAAGAAAAATTGGAAGCTATGATTTTCATTTAATTATTTCTATGCTGCCATTTATTAATGATTGAGGCAATTAAACACACGTCACTTTGGTTTTATAAAGCATCCTAGCTATGCGTTCTAGGCCATGGATTAATTTAAAAAAAAAAATGTTACTTAGGCCTCTCTGGATCTCAAAACCTCAATTCCATAGTAATTCTGAAATCTGTAAAAAAAATCGTATCTGCAGAACAAATTATCTGAGATATCGATACACCAGCAAACGTAATTGGCTATAGTGGCACTATGTACATCCTGCCACCATTTCTATTCAAAGTCTCAGTCTCAGAGACAGAGTTAGTTTTTTCTCATTAAAAACCAAACTATTTTCGTATTTAATATTTTTTTGTCATTGTTAGTCTCTAAGAAATTTAATTAAATCTTCGTTCACAACTTCCGAGAGTAGTTTCTACCAAATACCAAGTGGCGACCGCGAGTCGTCCCCGAGTCGTCCCCGAGTGGAGAGGGTTAACTTTGGTTTAACGTGACAAAAGCTCCGAAGCAACGTTTCCACGTTTGCGCACGTTTCGCGCGAGATCAGCCGGTGTCAAAATTTGTCTATTCGACGTGTAACCGTCGACGCGACCGGCCAACTTCGTAACAAAGTTTCGAACGGAGTTGTTTGGATGTTTACAGAGCGGCAGGACGCCATTGTACGTCGCAGCGAGAGGCAGTTTTACAGCCATCGTGGATATGATTATTAAAACTGCCAGGCTAGACTACCCTGCACCGGTAAGTGCCTTAAAACTGACCGTTTACGGCTTTCCTTATTTTAATATTTTCTTTTATGGGATGCTTGGTTCAACATCATAACGCACTTTTGGCGAGGCTGAGATTACTGTAATTCCTGGAGTCGACAATCGGGGATACACAATTTAAAAATTACCAACACTATCGTTTATATATTTATATATTTTCATTCACCATTTCCTTTACTTTAGCGGTGTTATGTTCAGTTGAAGACGTTGAATTTTTAAATGCACTGTATCACTCATACGCACGTGTTTTTTATAAAGTTGATTCACCGTAAGCCTTATGTAACATTTTCAACGCATCGGCACACGAAATTCCATTTGCAATGCAAAATTCAAGACAGATTCTTTGTTCGTTATTTTTATCCATCGCAAAAATCGCTAAACACACTTGTGCTGAACTGACAAAATGACGCACTGTAAACAAACTAAATGACAAGTGACGATCAAACTCCGCGTGAGTATAGAGGACAGTAGTGCCAATTTAGTGACAAAAAGAATTTCAACAATCCCTTTAAGCGGGCTTTTTAAATGATCGATTCCTGGTACTTTCTTGACAGAAGTATAAAAAGATTGTTGCCACTCAGGTGAATTCAAAATATTTTTACATTTAGGTTAGAAAAGAGACTAGTTTTCCTCGAAAACTACACTATTAGGATTTTTCTTTTATTATTACTCCAAGTAAACCCTGAAAATCAAATTACAAGGACAAGAAAAGAAAGTGATTCAGGTCTGAAAGAGTTAATAGAAAGGTCTTTGGGGAAACAAACAGTTGAACTGCTTTAAAATTCCCATCTTTGGGAATTAATTCGAATGAAAAATTTCCCTGCTTTTCCAGGAAGCTTCGACGTCCGAGAAGGAAATTCGAGATCTGACGCCCGCGAGAAGAAGATGGCGAGAGGGATCTAGGGGTGGAAGTATCTCCAGCAATAATTGCGGGCTCCCAGAGCACATTCGATCGGTTCTATGGAAGTTGGCGTACAAACACTTGGGTCCTGAAGATTGGAAGAAGCTGGCTCTTCACTGGGCCTTCACGCACGAACAAATTCGCGCGATTGAGCACCAGTATACTGGTAAAATACAATTCTAAATTAATTACGAGCGTGAGTACCTTGCAGGCTTCGTGAAAAATACGGAAACAATTCTGGTCTGTACCTCCAGACCTGGGAATTTTTTAAATAAAATCAGGTCACTTCACAGAGACGTATGATAAAGTATTTCGTAGTATTATTACTGGATTTACTTCAAACTGGAAGGTTGAGTTGAGAAAATGTTTGGAAATTATTATGAAATTTGCCAAGGTCTGGTGCTAAAGTAGATTAAGTATATCACGATATTATTAATACTATTACTTGAAACAGAAATTTTGGTTATTTCCAAATTGAGAGGTAGATTTGAGAAATTATTTGGAAATTATTATGAAATTTGTCAAAGCCTGGCGCAAATTAAATTAAATACTTCATGATATTATTAATACGATTACTTCAAACATTTTGGTTATTTCCAAACCAGGAGGTAAATTTGAGAAATTATTTAGAAATTCTTATAAAATTTGCCAAGGCCTGGTGCAGACACGAAACGAAACACAAGAATTCATCAAGGTACAAAATTAAATACGAAAAATCTAGCCAGCAATACTAAAAATCTAGAGAGAACTATAACGAAAGATAAACAAGTGACGATTGAATATTTGCACATCGGTGTTCCCTCCGTAAACAGAGGGCAGCCTTATGAAAAGGACGATAAAGCTCCTATCGTAGGTCCTTCGAGCTACAAGGAGCACGGCTTCCGGATGCTGATGATCTGGGCATCGGGACTGAGTCCTGACATCTCCATAGCAAAGGAACTCTGCGACGCATTGTCTGCGGTCGACAAAAAGGCCGCCGCGGGTAAATGATTTTTTAACTGGCTGCGCTAATTGTCAAGGGAGTATTCTACTTCAGACGGTATAACGCATTTTCTTAACGTTTGTGAATTTAAAAATTATCATTTTAACACTCCAAAATTTTAACGTTTCACGCTATGAATATTTCTTGCGTCCGGTGGTAATCAATAATGGACTCTTTTGGGTAATAATGATTGACTGGTGTATTTTAAACAGTGCATGGATCATGCAGGTGTATAACACTTTTTTCTACATTATTAGTCACTTTTCAAACATGGTGGCTTGATGAGACTTTGTTACTATTCTTTACACTTCTGTACACTGTATTCTTTTCATTTTCTTTTATCGTTCTATTTTCTGACACCACAGCTATAGTCCTGTAAGTCCCAAAGGGACCAATGGCTCGGGTACTTCGGGTTCGCCAAACCCGTACCGTAGCCACAATCAAACATGGCTACGGCCCCTGAGGTCGAGTAATAAATAAAATAATAAATAAAATTGTCCAAAAAATAATTCTGTGCAACTCCTAATTCGTCTGAAGTAAAATATTCTCTTGTTCATCAACGCAAATTGATTTTCTAAGACTACAAATGATTGCAGAATCGGTTCGCAAACAATTGGATCAAGAGAAGGAGGGCAAAGCGAAGTCGAACAAGCAGCGCTGTCACAAATGCTCCATCGCTTAAATGCAACGATTTTAATACTCCGCCTGCGATAGGAAAACAGGTGAAAAACTGTAAGACTATCAAGGAACTCAAATCGATCGCTGTAGTCGGAAATAATTGTCGGGGTTCTAGCGACGCTCGTGTTGTGACGTATGTATCCGTATAGTCGCCGATCTTACCTTTTTTACAGTACGACGTTTCGATATGAACTCGCGGTTTCATAGTGAGATTATTGTGTATAGATACGAAGAGAATCAACGAAACGTGTTACACGAGTCAACGAAAGCATTCGATGTGAGAACTCTCGAATCGCGGGGCAAATAAGATAAAAAAATATCACGCGAACGTATAAATTTTACAATCGCGACGTTTCGCGTGGATTAGAAACGCGTTTGTACATATTTTTGGAAAAGTGCCATCGTCTCTCGACCTGCCTCGAAACATTTATTTCGATTGGTTTTCGTTCTGGTTTCGTATGGACAAAATTCGCGTCTAGTTTCCAATAACGAATACAAAATAAATTGTTTCTATCAACACATTCGCTTTGGACACGTATACGCATTAATAGATTTTCATATAATAAGATCGTGGAGTTAATTCGAAATTCAGCAATGTTTGCAACAAAACAAGCCGTCCTGTCTCGTTTCATTCTTGGCCAAAATCGAACGTACTCTTCGAAGATCACGATTCTGTTCGTCGATAGTCGCGCGAAACCAGGTATCTGTAATTAGAAACGTGAAATACGTACCTTGGAGTATGAGCGGGCGATGCGAAGCCGGGCTTTCGATGTGATAAAAGAAAGAAGTAGATTTAGAGCGTAATTAAAGACGAAAATGTCTCAAAGCTTTCAATAATTGTACAATTCATGAACGACAATCTACATATCCGAGAAAAGTGTACGATTCAATAAACGAGTAATTAAAGTGTCTCGAGATTTTTAAACGATCACTCCGATTTAAATCTGTGCGCCCTTTGGATATGTTGTATGAATTCTATTTTGCTCCAGAAAAATAATTTTTAAAATATTTTGAAAAAGGACTAGTTGCATCTAAATGGAATGCAGTTATTTTTTTATAAACTGGCTTCTACTCGTCTCTAAATAAAAAGAACTCGAACTTAAATTTCTGCACTCATAACACTCATCGTTAGACACTGTAGATATTAGAAGAAATTAATTTGAATGCATTTATTCCTTATAAACTGGCTTCTACTCGCCTCTAAATAAACGAAACTCGAACTTAAACTTCTACTAATTATAACACTCGTCCTTGGACACTGTAGATATTAAAAGAAATAAATTTGAATGCATTTATTCCTTATAAACTGGCTTCTACTCGTCTCTAAATAAACAAAACTCGAATTCAAACTTCTAATATTTACTACACTCATCGTTGGACACTCTAGATATTAAAAGAAATAAATTTGAATGCATTTATTTCTTATAAACTGGCTTCTACTCGTCTCTAAATAAACAAAACTCGAACTTAAACTTCTAATATTCACAACACTCGTCGTTGGACACTGTAGATATTTATAAAAATAAATTGGAACATCCTTACCCATCGTGATCCACGAGTATCGAGATTACTCGGACGAGATGGACAGTGAGGGATGGACGACAGTGGGTGGGAAGAAGAATCCTAAACGTCGTTTTCTATTAAAATGTGAATGTTTATTAATCCATACGGAATATCAATTTGCTTCTATACTATAAAAGAATGCACTTCTTGTTTCCACCCACGCAAATACGTAATATATTTATATATAACAAAATATTATGAACGGTATTATCATTATCGTATCATACTAATCATTAATAACGGTTTATCAGCGTCGATGGTAGAAAACGGTGCCCGAAGCGCCGTCAACGGCGGGTTCGTCGTGATCGTGAATTGTACAAACCGATACGGTAAACGGGGGGGTTGAAGGGGTGGTGGGGGGAGAGGAGAGGGCGACAAATCGCGCCAAAACTCCTAAACCTTAACAATTAGAATTAAACACTATCGACAATAATTAATCAGCTACCATCGTCGTCATAGCAACGAGCAAATGACTGTTGCGCGCCATCGAACGATTCACATCTTCGAAAAACGGTCAAAAACTCGCGACTCTCTTTTTTATCCACCGTTCCACTCGAACGCCTGAGAAAGCAGAAGTGCAGTTGCGTTTGTTTACCGAAACAATGGTACACACCGAGGGAAACGTGCGCAGAACTCGCCCGAAACGGCTCTTCCATACGCATCGCATCACATTTTCCTCTATCATCATTCCAAAAACGAAAGAAATGAAATATTTTATTCTCGAAGCTGTTTCATTTTCCAGTCTTTAACTTTGTTGCCGTTCTTCCTTTAAATTGTATCAATTTCACTTCAAATGAAAAATATACACAAGGATAATTCATTTTTCCTATTTTAGACAGGGTACGATTCTAACCCTTTCAAGTATCAGATTACTCGGTAATCACAACGATAACATTTTCCTTAATATTACCAGAAACGTTAAGAGCCGTTTCGTGGGAGTTCCGCCGTGTCTCGAGCAGAAATCCACGACAGCGAGTGTGTCACGCAACGAACGATTGAATTTTCACACGTGTTCGACGAACACAACACCCGAAGGGTAGTTCCGGCGGAGGAAGGTTCACGTGAAAGGCGAATAGCGACACACAACAGGCAGACGACGTTAAATACGGAGGTATGCAACGCAAGAAAATGAAGAAGAGAAAGAAGTAGAAGGAAAGAGAGAACAGGAGGGAGGAGAAGTGCGAGAAAAAAAGAAATTGGGGACAAAGGACCAGCTGATTAATTAAATTGAGAAA